CTTTCCTGGGGTTTCCTAAGTGTTTTTTTTAAATGGGCGGGGCCAGCTTGGGCTTTTGCCCAGCAAGGCTTCTGATTGGCCACTGGAGATTTGATTGGCTGTGCAGACTTTTTTTTTTAAGTGTTGCTTTGGCAGCCGCTGCCACCGCAGCACAAGGAAAGTGAGATCGACGGCGGCCATTTTGTGGTTGCACCCACCACCCTGTGTCAGGATCCCAGATGTGCCCACGGGGTTAAAGAGGTTGGGGACCCCTGAACTAAAGGAGACGTAAAGGAACTCTGTTGGGGGACTCCTGTCCTTGAGCCCCTGGCCAGCGGCGGGCTCCTTGTGAGTCCACGTTTGTGGCTACCTCAGACGCAAACACTCCAGAGATACGAGCAGCAGGGTTGCCAGGTGAGAACGACACGCCAGCAGGGGATGAGGGGGGACTTTCCGGGAAGCAGAGAGGAGCACCACGACATCCCTACGTCACCTGGAAGTGACATAGGCACATCAGGGGCGACGCTCTGTTTTTTGGGCCAAAGTCTGTGGTAAAATGGGCCTCAAACCATAGAGTTTTGCCCAAAAACCAGAGTGGCGCCCTGGCATGCCCACCTCACTTCCAGGTGAAGCAGGCATGTTGCCCAACATTGCTGCTGGGGGCTTCTCCTGTCCTCCATTTTATCCTCACAACAACCCTGTGAGGTAGGTTAGGCTGAGGGGGTGTGACTGGCCCAAAGTCACCAAGTGAGCTTCCATGGCATCAGTGGGGATTCGAATCCGTGACTCTCAGATCCTAGTGTGACATCCTAACCACTGCACCGCACTGCCTCTCCCAAAATACAGGATAATTTGGAGCAGATTCCGGATAGTAATTTCTGAACAGAGTTACGTAGAACTCTTCTAGAGGTAAAAATCCTCCTTCATACTCTGCGTAAAATAAATATTTTGTGACCTTCTGGTTTTCTGCACTTGGGAGAGACACCCGATGCCAGCCTTGCTGTCGGAATGCTGTTGTGTAGCCAATGGTGATGTTTGTGAACGCTTGCAATTTAAGGGCTCGGCTGCCTTGGAGGAAATCTCAAGCCATTTTTCTCACGAGAAATGGGAAAACCTGCAGGACTGGCAGAAGGAGATGTACAAAAATGTGGTCAAGGGAAACTGCGAGTCTCTGATCTCCCTCGGTAAGGAACTGGTCTCCTTTTTCTTGGACTCTTTCATGGTTCGTACCCAGGGCCGGCCCCAGCTTATTTTGCACCCTAGGCGGGGATCCCTTCTGGCACCCCCCTCCCCGTGCGCCCACCAATTTTCAAAAATAAATGCATTTTAGGAAGAATGAAAAACACAAATAATCAAGAAACTCCCAGACTACGGGGCCGGGTGCAGTTTGGCGCCCCTAAGGGCCGGCCCACTCTAGGCAATTGCCTAGTTCGCCTAGTGAGTGAGCCGGCCCTGTTCATACCAGAGGATAGGGCGTTCCCCTCCACAAAGGCAGGTCCAGTCCGATCACCCTAGCAGCATCCCCCAGTCATTGTTCCTAAGCCAGGCCGTGGTATATCTGAAGGACTGTCTTCTCCCAGATGTTCCTGCCCAAGAACTGAGATCACAGGGAGGGGCCCTGCTGACTGTCCCACCAATCAAAGATGCTCGTCTGGTGGGTACACAAGGGCCTTTTTGGTGGCAGCCCCCGGATTAAGGAAGAAGCTCCCCAGGAAGTGCGCTTGGCCCCCTCCCCTTCAAACCTCAGGAGGCAGCTGAAGACGATTTTATTTAGGACTGTATTTGATTAAAGCAGTTCTGAATTGTGGTTTTTAAATTTTGTTCATTTTAACATATTTTATTTTCTAAGCCGCCTTGAGCTCCTTAGGGAAGAAAGGCAGCTAGTACATTTTTAAAACAGATAAATACAAAACCGAAACAAACTCTTTTTGGAATAGGTCGCTCAGCGAGCTTCCATCGCACAAGCGGGGATTCGAACCCGGGGCTCTGAGACACTCGTCTGACATCCTTAATCACTACACCGCACTAGCTCTCTCTGAGATAAAACACCACCCAGCATAACGGCCTTATTTCCTCCAACCAGATTTTGCCGTTTCTAAACTGGAAAGTTTGACCTGTACGGAAGAAAGAGTGCCACCTTGTGGTCTCGCCCTGGCAGACTCAAGAGGAGCCCAAGAGCCCCCCGCTGATACCGGAACAGGTAAGCAAGACTGAAGTCGACGGACCTTGCCGTGAAGACGGGGAAGGCGATTGTTTTGAACATGATGCTAGCGAGGCCAACACCTTCTGCTCTGGGGTTCAGGCAGCATTGAATCTGGACTATGGGAAAGCCAAGACAAGCCCGTGTGGAAGGGCAAATGTCTAGGGGAGTATTTGAGCCTTGGCAGACATGACCCTCTACGGGTGGCTGTCATCTTCTCATGTTATATATAGCCAGGGGTCATTTCCTAGAAAAAGAGGTGCAGGAGCTCATTTGCATATGCCACACCCCCTGACAAAGGGGCATGTTTAAAATGAGTAAAGGCATATGCAAATAAGTTTAAATCCCCCCCCCTTCCCTGAGTCTCTCCGCAAAAGCGGAGGGGCTCAGGGGAAAAGAGGCCATGTCTGCTTGCCTCCCCTGTCCGACCTTCTCCAGGTACCCTGGAGAAGATCAGGCAGGGAAGCCAGGCATTTAAATCCCCCCACTCGGGGGGGCGGGGCCTGGGCTCCTTTCTGCTAGAGCGCTGCTCCAGGGCGCTCCGGCAGGAAATGACCCCTGTATATAGCTAAGTGCAGCTCATGGGATGTAGGCAAGGCCTGTCTACAGTGGAGGCCTCGAGCTTTCCCACTACTGGTTGTTTACTCCATTCTGTGTTGCAACAAACAGGGCTTTTTCAGTGGCAGCCCCGCGATTATGGAGCAGCCTCCCCAGGGAGGTGCGCCCGTCCCCCTCACTTTTGATTTTTAGGAGGCAGCGGAAGACGGCTTCATTGAGGACTGCGTTTGATTAAAGCGCTCCTAAACTGTGATTTTAAATTTTCATTTTTACGTATCTTTATGTTTAATCGATTTACGTTTTGTACAGTCCCCGTTTCTCACCGGGACTCAAGGTGGATATGAAAGTGTGCGTCGATACAACTGACAGATGGGGTATGTAGTGAACAGTGCAATAGGATGAGGGTTGTGGAACCAACCAGAAATCTAAAAAACAGAGCTGAAACAAAACTGAAGCATTAACGCGATACATTAAACGATGCAGGAATTACATCGTAGGACCCTAGTGTCTGCAAGTTATCCAGACGTGTCAAACTCATTTGTTACACAGGCCGGATTTGACATAAATGTTACTTTGTCAGGCCGGGCCACATATGCCCTAAAATGTAATTGTCCCGCTGCGGGGTCCTCTGCGGCCTTATGGGCCGCTGCAGCGGGACTGGTGCTACCTGCGCTGAGCTTCCCACTACTCCCCAGGAAGAATGGTGGGCTGGCCACCTCCCGAGACCCCAATCCCCTCCCTCAACACCCACCGCGGGGCAGGGGAGACCCGGAAAGACAGAAGACGGTGGAACGGACTGGCAAGGAACACGATGGGGGTGACCTGAGATGTGAAGGGGGGAGGGCACGGTTGAGAGAACGGGACAGTTGGCGCGTTCCAGCCTTACCCCCGAGGAGTACTGGTGCCGAGGACGCCGTCGTTGGCCCCGTTGCACAAACAGGAAGTAGACACTCCCTCACCCACACAGCACTAGTTATAAAGGAAGGCGGGCCTAAGGAAGAGGAAGTTCACTGGGATAGGAGAGCACGGTGATGGGCAGGTGACCTAGCCTATAGGATTAGTAATAACCAGAAGGGGGAGTCACCAAGGGGTGAAGCTGGGCTATAAAAAGGAGGAAACTGACGAGTGCCGGGGAGGAATGGAGGATTGACCTCAGAAACAACCCAGAGAGAATGGAGGTCTGTCCGAGGAAGGGAGCTGGGGTGACGTAACCCCAGACCTTCCCAATCTGAGGCGCTCGTTTCCTCTCCTCATGTTTCAACACGGCTACCGGGGTTTCTAGACCTGGGGCGGACCCCGAGCATGACAGTCATGCCAAGTACTGGAGATATAAACTTTATACATGATACAGGCAAACCCAATTGACGATACTGTTTTTACTCAAAATACAAACAAAAGCCATTGATTCCTAGGAGTGAAAGCAATTGATTTACTGGGGAATCCACAAAAGCCCCAATAAATGCACTTAATCATATGCGAGACTATACCATATCTGCCCCTTAGCCATTTCCTTTCCTTTCTTTTTTTTGGTATTTTTTGGTATTTTTTCATAGATATGTGTGTGTGTGTGTGTGTGGGCTATTTTTGGGCAGGAACGCACAGGAACGGAGTTCCGGCTGGCTCCCAAGTTGGCCACGCCCAGCAGGAACTCATTAGCATAACAGGCCACACCCAAACGCAGAAACTCATTAGGATTGGCTACATCAAGGGTGTGTGGCCTAACATGCAAAGGAGTTCCCGCTACAAAAAAAGGCCCTGGGTTTTGACAACAAACAAGGTAAACAGAATAAGAAGCAAAAGGTGGGTGTGGCTGGATGACTACACTTCTGGAAACACGGGGGTGCGGCCTAATATGCTAATGAGCTGTGTTGTCAGGGGTGTGGCCTAGTATGCTTATGTGTTTCTGCTGTTGGGTGTGGTCTATTATGCTAATGAGTTCCTGCTGGACTTTTTCTACAAAAAGAGCCCTGGACTGTGTGTGTGTGCGCGCACCTGGCAGTCTTGGTGACCAACCCCTACTAAGGGGATGAATAAAAATAAAGCTTGCCCCCGCCTCCCGCCTCTGGTATTCCTTGGAGGTCTCCCATTGATGTACTTTCCAGCGTCGACCCTGCTTAGCTTCCGAGATCGGGCTTGTCTGGGCTTGTCTGGGCTGTTAAGGGCAGGGCTTCATTTCTTGACAGCTTCAACACACACTTCACTGTGTGCGCCCGTGGACCTGTCCCCCCCCCCCACGCCAGTTGTTTGCAGGCTGGATAAGATCCCCAGGATGGAGCCGCTTCCTGCCCCTGGGCTGTATTTTTGACACCCCTGTATCAGGGCTCTTTTTGTAGAAAAAGCCCAGCAGGAACTCATTAGCATAATACGCCACACCCAACAGCAAGAACTCATTAGCTTATTAGGCCACACCCCTGACAGCACCGCTCATTAGCCCATTAGGCCACACCCCCATGTTACCAGAAGTGTGGTCATTCAGCCACACCCACCTTTCCCTTCTTATTCTGTTTACTTCCTTTGTTGTCAAAACCCAGGGCTTTTTTTGCAGCAGGGACTCCTTTGCATGTTAGGTTACACACCCTAATGTAGCCAGTCCTAATGAGTTTATGCTATTGGGTGTGACCTGTTATGCTAATGAGTTCCTGCTGGGCGTGGCCAGCTC